TAAATAAGACAATTTATTACACACTTTCACTCATTTGTCTCACATCTGGCATATTCAACGGGGTCATATTTCTACAGTCATCGAGTATTGGATTGTTTATGATATGGTATGAGACACATAACAAAGAACCGGGTCTTCTGTGGTCGGACAATGTGGAGGAGATTGTCTCATATGTATTGCTCATAAGTGTGGTCATAATCAGCCAACTCTTGGCATTTACCATAAAGTCTCGTATAGAGTACGTGCCGTACTTTCCCGCATCCAAAACAAGCAACGAGTTTAGTTTCAAACGCAAACGCACCGGTAGTTCGGGCTCCTATACCCGCAATATGAATGGCAACAATTGTGAGTCTCTTTTACGCTATTATGACAAATAAGACTCAAATTGTTATTTCATTCATCCATTCATTCTTTAGCCGATCTCATGAGGAATGGCTTTAAATAAAAGTAGACTTAATTTTGACTTCAATTATGGCAAATGATTATAAGTTATAATTATGTTATAAATTATAACAATCACATTACAAGGTGGAAATGTACTGTAATTATAATTAATTTTAAAATTAACTCTGATGAATATTATAATAATCTCATTTTATAAATATTATTAAACATTTGATATTAACATATTAAGCAATTTTATAGTTTTAATTAAAAATAATGTAATACCATTTTTAAAATTTTATACAACATGCAATTTGTATCACAATACAGTAATCTCTTTTTATAATTTTTAAATAAATTTAAAAATTCTTTGTTTTTACTTAAATTTATTTATTATATTATATTTAAATGATTTATTCTTTCCGATAAATACCAATTAGCTTTAATTCTAATAAAAATTGTTTTTTTTCATAAAAATAAATTTGAAAATCGGCATTTTAATTAATAAACATACTATATATTTTTAATAACTAAATTTTATTCATTCAATATATGATTAGGGGTAAAATGAAATAAAATTTTCATAAAAACAATAATTATCGCCAAGCACAAGAATACCGAACTTGCCTAGTACTAATAAGATATAGAAATTGGTAGAATATAATGTTAATACGATAAAATACAGTAAATATCATAATTATAATTTAGTTCTTGATCTTATTTAAAATTATTTTTATTTTAATTTATAAATTGAGTGAAGCTTATGAAAACATTTGAAAAATGGATTTATGCGACCATTTCACGGAAATATTTGTTTGTTATTTAATTCTAAGTTCAATAGAAAATGGTTTGAATTGAATGTTTTCGTCGGCAATGAATTCCTTATGACTTCGGCTTAACTGTTGACACGTCTTGTGGCCGAACCCGAAGGCACCTCTGGGGCCGAGGGGGACAGTGACTGGCAGACCACCTCCCCATTGGCCACTTCTTGGTTTCACAATCACATGGATCGTCATTCCCTCTTCAATGCCATAATC